CTGAGATCAGGAGAAGCTCACGCTAGTGCACACCCTCAAGACGCAAGGGGTGGAAAAACTGTCAACCGCCAGTCTTGGAATCCCCCAGGAGCTGATGCAGTGAAAATCCATGTGGACGGTGGCTTCTCAAGGAACGGGGAGAGAAGTGCAGCTGTTGCTGTATGTAGAGATCATACTGGTCTATTTCTGGGATCTTCAGCACTGGTGTTCGAGGGTATAACGGACGTGGCAGTGTTGGAAACCTTGGCCTGCCGGGAAGGCCTTTCGCTAGCACTTGATCTTATGGTGGATAAGCTGGTTATCGCATGCGACTCGAAGTCAGTTGTTAAAGATATTGAAAGGGGGACAGAAGGAAGAAATGCAGTGATTGTGAAGGAGATTATTAGGCGCTCAGCTGATTTCTCCAAAAGTGAATTTATTTTCGAGGGTCGGTCTTCAAACTGGGAGGCTCATAATTTAGCAAAATTTGCTAGTTCTCTTGAAACTGGTCGCCATGTTTGGCTTGGGGATCCCCATGATCCTTTAATTATTCCTGTAAATCTTGTTATATTTCAATAAAGTGTGGTTTACAGGCTCAAAAAAAAAGGAGCTCCCGGAGAAGAGAGCTCCCACGAAATCGATCCCAGGTGCCCAGGTGATGTCTGGTGCTTCTGGACATTGCGCAAGGTTAGGTTCATGTCAAGAAAGGAGGCGCGAACAATTTGAGGTAAAACATGCAATTTTTTGTTTTCTCTAGTTTCTTTCCCTTTTTGTTTTTTGTTTGATTTTCTTATTTCTTCTCTGGTTATTTGGTCGTTATACTTTGTTTTTTGTTTTTTTGTTTCTTTCATATTTTTATCCGTTCTTCTTTTATTTATCAATTTTCTTTGATTTTGTTTTCGTTCTTGGTCTTCAGTGTTTTTTTGTTTTCCTTTGTTCTTTTATTGGTTTTCATAGTTTTCAATTCTTTTTGCATTATTTTCGTATTCTTTTTCCTATGGTTTCTTTTTCCATTTTGCTGGTTTTCCTGTTTTTGCTTATTTATTTTGGTTTTCATTCTACATTTTCGTATACATTAATAACATTTTCCTAAAACACGTTTAGCATTTTTCAAATAGAGGATTAACATTGTTCTAATACGTGGTCAATATTTTTTCTATACATATTTCAAACATCTTCAAATGCCTAATTAACATTTTTCAAATACAAGATTAAGATTTTTTTAATACATAAACCTTTTGGCATCTTCTTTTCATACAACCTTTTCTCAATAACACAAAAGAAAAAAAAGGAAAATAACCAAGACACACATAACGCCACAATGGACATCATATGCAAGTCCTTCTTTTGCTCCCTGTATCTCTTCATAAGTTGTCGTATCAAAAAAATGGCTTTCATGGTCGACCTCCCAGGCATGAAACCGAACCGATTTTTGGTCACGCTTGTCATTCTTCTTAAGTGGTGCTCAATGACTCTCTACATAGCTTCATTGTATGCATTGTTGAGAAAATCGTTAACTGATAGCTGCTCGGTTGGCTGACGGGTAGGGGATTAATAGGCTAATCGGCAAGTTAATCGGCCATTTAATCAATTACTCGGGTGATTAATCAGTTAATCGGCTACTTGTTAGAAATATAATTGGGTTTAAGTTAGAGATAAGGAGATAGAGATAGAATTAGTTTAAACCACATGTAACTTGTCTTGTACTCCAAGTCTCTACCCCTCTTGTACTCCTATATATACCCTACACAAGGGTCAGATCAATACAACACATAATTCTAGGCATCCTACAATTTCACATGGTATTAGAGCGGTTAGTCTCACGACGTCGATCCTAGGTTCCTTCACCACCTCCGCAGCGTGCCGCCCCCGGAGAGATTAATCTTCTCTCCCCGGGGGCGTGATATTAGATAGATTTTTTTTTAGATTAGATCAAATTCCATAAATTCCAGTTTTCGAAATTCCATAGTCCATCCAGTAGATCGATCTTATTAGGCACAAATAAACTCCATGATCAGATCCAATTCCGGTGAAAAGCAGTGCATACTCGACATCAGATCGACGTACATCGGTGGTGTGCCGCTACGGCAAGCGCGGGGCGCGAGGGACATCGCTACATCGTCAGCGTCGCCGTGCGGGATTCCAGCCCCCAAGGACAACCAGCGGCATGTGAGCACGGGTTCTACATCGACAATCTACCTAGCCATGCGACACAGTCACCGCTAGAAGCACGATCGCCTCAAGCCCTCCAGCGGGTGTATGATTTGCACCCGTGCAGCCAGCCAGATCGGCACCCGTGCATGCATCGGATGGATCCAAGGAGATCAATCGCATGTTCATACGTGCCGCATGACATATCTGCGTGCATGGCTTGGACACATGCGCGTCCATGCGTCTTGCCAGGTCTGCCGAGGTGCACGACTTGGATCACGGGATGGCAGACTCCCAAACTCCATCGACTCCAGCCGTCCAGCGCCTCGTACGACGATGAACTACACCGAGCGGAGCTACACCACCTCTTGCATCGCATGTACCTGCGCCGACATGCCATCTACATCGACCGATCTGCACTGCGTCAAGCCGAACTACACCAGGCCGAACCACGACATCAAGCTGTACGGCCACAACAGACTACGAGTTAAGATCATCGTCGAGCAAATACACGAGAAGCGGCATCATCGTTGACACGTCGCTGCAATGTCATTACCGACACTTCATCGCCAAGGTCTTCATCAACGTGGTCTTCACTAAACATCCTCGTCAAAACACACCGCCGCCGCCTAGTCCACAAGATGGACACCTGGCGTCGTCTGACAGACTTTTCTGCAAGACGCAACCTCGACGACGGCAATGACCGCGTCACGACGACGGCATCGACCGCGTCATCCACGACGGCACGACTGCATCGACACGGCGTCACTACAGTGACGACCCTACACGGCCACACGGTTCTGACAAAAACGATGTGTGCTCAATGGGCTTCCTCCGGTCTTGGCAAAACTGGTGGACTCATCGCCGACGGCATCCTCTGACATCCGCAAGGTGCACCGTCATGTCTGCAGCCCCGTCATAGCGCATTTTTTTTGCGCCTCCAGCTTTGTGCGGCTTCATCATCCACGACGACCACACCATCGACCACGGCTACATCACCCTGACCGGCTACCTCGACATCGACCACACGGCTACGTCTACAGCAACTCATCGGCAACAACTCCAGTCAACAGCATCCGCGTCGTCACTAGCGTCCACGCCACTTCCGCTGTGACTGCGGGAGGGAATAGAGGAGAAGGCATGAAGGCACCAAAAAGGGACGCAGTCACCGCCCTAGGTGCCAACCCATCAGAGACGCAGTTGATGATGGCGCAGCAAAGAAGACGACGAAAGCGCAAGACTTCAAATCCAGTCGTACTTGTCCGCTTCACTCCCGCTACGACTGAGGGGGAATGTTAGAAATATAATTGGGTTTAAGTTAGAGATAAGGAGATAGAGATAGAATTAGTTTAAACCACATGTAACTTGTCTTGTACTCCAAATCACTACCCCTCTTGTACTCCTATATATACCCTACACAAGGGTCAGATCAATACAACACATAATTCTAGGCATCCTACAATTTCACACTACTTGGTGACCCTACGAGTAGGGATTAATCGGCAAGTTAACTGGTTAATCGGATGAATTCTTGAATAGGGATTGTATGGCTCATCAGCTTAATTACAGTAATTAGTACAATTTTTGAACATGCCCCTTGGTCTTGAAGATTGGTACTAATACACTCCGTCTCCATTCTTCTGGCATCTTGTTTGCCCGAAAACTGAGGTTGAAAAGTTTGGTTAGCCATACTATCGCTATGTCCCTGAGGCCTTTCCACACCTCAATGGGGATACAGTTAGGGCTCCACCCCCCTTTGCGAAAATAAAATCCAAAAAATACCAGGAATATTTAAAAAATCTGAAATATTGGGATATCAAACTTGGGTGCTTAACCTACCTCCATATGAAGTTTCGTAGAAAAATGCCAAAAAATATATCCATGGCGAAGAAAATACAGTCCGAACTAAAATCCATCCAAACCATTTTTGTTCTATACATAGGAATTTTGTATTTTTTAGCCACGGTACGTTTCCTGGTATCTTTTTGCCGAAATTTCACACAAAAGTAAATTGGGCACCCAAGTTTCATATCCCCAAATCCTAGTTTTTTCTGAAATTTCCCGGTATTTTTCTGATCTTAAACATGTAGCGGTGTGGAGCACACAGGTGACTCCTTCCATTTCTTTTTAGTCCGCATATAAAATTTGTATTAAGCCAAACATTGTAGAGTTTGACTAAGATTACAGGAAAAAATATCAACACTCACAATATAAAATCGATATCATTAGATGCATCATTGAATTAACTTTCATATTGCATATATCTAGTATTGTAGATTTTGATAATTTTATATATAAACTTGGCCAAACTTTATAAAATTTGACTTAAGACAAATCTTATATGCGAAGAAAAAAACCCGGACGGAGTACACATGAAGATGAGGTCGGCCAACAAAGGGGAACCGGCCTCACCAAACAGATGACGTCACCTAGATGAGCCTTAGAGAGACCCGAAAAAAATGATATAGCTTTTGCTCCCGCCGCAGTCGCCCACGTTAGTTAAATTTATGATCAAATTTAAATCTCGAAAAATGCGGGCGCACTACATTATGAAACGGAGGGAGTATGTATTAACCAGGGCAAAATTAGAGTCTAAGTTATTACAGACTTTATAGACAATTCAACACAGAAAATAAACCCAAATTCCATGAGCCGAAAGAAGAAGGAAAAGGAAAACAGTTTCTCATAACTTCCCTTACCAGAGCCTACTTTCACCGCAATCTGTAACCAGTTTAGTTTACAGAGGAAACAAAATATACTTTTACATGCGAGATGTGAGAAAAGTAGCATAAACTGTTATTATTACAGCAATACGTACGACAGAGAAGAGTTGGAGGAGCGTCAATCTGCTAGTTGCGTTTCATCATGTTTCACAAACAAATGTATCCCAGACCAAAAGATTTGCATGGTGATGTGGTCGTGGCATCCAACTTGGCACGGCAGCGCACCCATACTAAGCCCTTGATATCGTTGGCGAAGCTGAGATCGACCTCCAGTTCCACCCCGCCGTTCCTCCTGTCATGGTCGATACGCTCTTGCAGCGAAGCTGGCATAGCCAGCCAGCCTGACGAGGCAGCCGCCGTCATGGCGATCGAACCTTTGGGCTCCACGCAGAAGGGCGGCACGTGGCCCATGGCGACGGTGATGCCCGAGTACACCGCCTGCACGTCCCCGCCTCTGTGGTCGCTGCAGAAGCTGTGCTTGTAGGAGCTCCTGGCGTGCAGCGTGACGTTGAAAGCCGGCGACGAGTCGTTGCGATATATCCCGGCGTGGGACACGGGCTCCATGCTGAACTTTGCGCTCCCGAAATTCAGGTCGGGATCGACGATGAGCTGGCGAACGGCGACATAGACAAAAGCTGCCAAGGTCAGACATGCGACAATTATTAGAATGACACATTGGCATTGGTCGCCTCTGTCTCTGTGCTTGGACGGGGGCTTCGAAGGAGCAGCTTCGGGATCCATGTCTAGGCCAAGGACCTTCATCAGGAACCCCTGGTTTGTTTTGTGGTTTATCAGGCAGACGGTTGGACTAACGGCGGGGTATATTTATTTGTAGGACCTCACGAGATACCCAATGCAACGTGTGTGAACCGACTTCCTCTCGGACTCCATGTAAAAACCGACTTATATTTGGATTCGTGTTACGTTTCTGAGCTGAACCGACTTTCTCTCAAACTCCATGTAACGTGTGCGAACCGACTTCCTCTCAAACTCCATGTAAAAACCGACTTGGATTCTTACGTTCTGAGCCGAATTCTAGTCTAACTCAAAGGATTCTTACGACTTTTATATTTGGCCCTTGCCTTGTTCTGCTACACAACTGTTTGCCTAGCTAGACTAGATTCTTACGGCACATCTTGTAAGTTGCGACTCGCGGCGGCGCCGTCATGGCCACTGCAGCAGGCAGCGAGGAGCCGGAGTCCAAGCCTAAGCTGCTACGAGCTGCGATCCTTGCGATCATCATCACACTATGCGTCGGCATTCTGATACTAGGGCTTCAAAAGTGGGACTCAAGCATTCACCTTGATCCCAGTTACTCCGTCAGACTGACGGAGGTGCACGGCCTCGACCCAGCGCGCAGCCCGGTGATCCGCCCCGACTTCAACCTCGAGCTGCGTGTCGACAACAAGGGCGTCGACAGGACCTGCAAGGAGGAGATCACGGTCACCGTGTTCTATGGCGACATGGTTGTCGGATGGGCGGATGTGCCGGACTTCTGCGTCGGCAAGCGGTCATCGACGGACGTGAATGTCAAGCTGTCTCACACGGACGTGCTGCTGACCGACACGTTGCGCCGCCGCTTGGCGTCGGAACTGCGATCGGGGGACTTGGAGTTCGTGGTGGAGATGAGGATGGTCATACCCGTGGGATCTGATCGGGAGTGCGCTGATGATTATTGCACGTCGAGGCAGTCTTTCCTACTCTGTCGTGCAAAGCCTGGCCAAGACTATGTACACCGTCATCTACTCCCAACGCGAAGAGTAGTCTAGGATGGCATGGCTGGCTTGCTTCTTCTTTGTTTACTACGTAATATGTTAATGTTATTCCTTGAAGCTACTATTACATCTTGTAGGAGTACTTTTCTTGATTGCCACAATTGTAAGATGTTCATCTCGTCTTTCAATCTCCGGTTCTTTCTCCCTCGATGTGTTGCGCGGATCCAAATCCGGCCGTCCCGGCGGGCGGAGGCCCCGGCTGCGTATGCATCAGCCAGTGGATCCTGGTGGTGCACCATTTTGCACCCCCTACCCTGCGGGGGCTCATCTTCCTGGGAGGTCGTGGCCGTGGCCAGGGGGCGGCGGTCATCTCCCTCTCCTCGTGTGGTGGTCGGAATGCCGCCGAGGTCAGTGGCGGAGCCAGGATTCGAGTATAGGGGGGGCCGAGTACG